ACATGCCAACTTCAACTTTGGTTTTGGTCAAAAACAAAACTAAATTGCGCTTATGTTATTGTTGATTTGAGCTGATGAAAAGTACAATACCCAAAAAAATCCCTGTGTTGTTTTCGCGACCCAAAAAAATCCCGGCGTCTTTCATAGACCCAAAAAAATCCCTTTTGGACAAAATGTCAGACCCCAAAAAATCCTTCGGACCCCCCCGTAATTAAAATATGTGAGTGGGGCCCCTGGGGGGATAAAACAGACGAAAATGGCAGCGGGGTTCGTCCAGGGGATAACCACGGCAAAAGAGCCGACAATTTGTGTTTGGCGCCACCAGTGGTAAAGAACTGCCATCTGATACTGAAAGGTAGTTCTTAAAACGCTAGTGAAGATAGCTGGTAAAGAATTGATGCTATTAAAGAAGGGTTGTCCACATTGCATACAGTTTGATGTTGTCGTCCACCTTCTTTAATTTAATTCCATCTCTACTTGTTATTCACACAGATTAAAATTTCTGCATGTAAACTCAACGAAATGTTGCGCCTTCTAGTATCTTCCTGGAGCTACGATCCTCTTCCCTCCATGTTAACAGCCCCTTATCCCCTTAGGACTCTTCCACACCAACCTCGTTCCTAGGGTTCTCTCCCACCCGTCCCTACGGAGCGACGTGTAGGAGAGAGAACCTAAGAACGAGATTGTTTCCACGCCTATCCGGATAGTTTTGAAAGCGGAGGATGTTTTCTCCATTTTCGAAAAAATACGCGTCCACACGTAGCGTATTCGAATCCTTCTCGCTTGTCAACACGAAAACGCAAAAGGAATGGCGGGGAACTACGGTAGCATTCCTTACAGGCGGTGCGCCTTATGACCTCGGGCTTCATCGTATTCCAAAAGCTCCTTTTTTTGTCCGTCCACACGAAAACGATATGCCGGCGTTTTTAAAAAACTCCAAGATCCGAAAACGCTGTTTACGTGTGGACGGAAGGCTACACGGTGGAGGAAAAAAAGCTCTGTTTTCAAAAATATCCCTATTCGTGTGAAAGGGGCCTTATGTAGCCTCAGAAAAAATATTCCCTCCCTCCAATGGAAAAACAATCGGATTTTGTTTTTAAAATCCTAAGAAATGAAGTTTAGTTCGCAAAAGTTTTGCCAAAGGATTCATCTGAATGGAAACACTATCAAGGGACATAGGATTTCTCCTCAATTCTGAACAATCTCTCCCCAATGGTAGCTATACGCACTGTAACGAGGATTTTATATCAGCATGCAGTATCTATGCCTTATTCGATTTCTCATTAGAAAAATGTATGTATGGCATTTGTCGAAATTAAATCTCAAGCTTGGTCGAATTAAACAAACTTTGTACTGCACTGATCTCTGTTCTCAAGATTAGCCTGTTCCAAACGTTCAGATAGTGGAGAGCGGTGCGGAGTAAAGAAAGCGATGAAAAGTAGAGGGGGACTGGGGAGAGAGGTGCGGTTCCCTCTCTCACCTCTCCTCCTCCCTCGCTTTTATTTTTTCGCGCTCCTTTTTACTTCGCACCCCTCCCCACTATCTGAACGCCTGGGACAGGCTATTCTCAAGATATGTCAGGGGATCAAGTTCCCTTGCATTTGTGTCAAATTCTATTTCAAATTGTTTCACATTTCAAACACATGTTTATGTAACAGATGTAAACCATTGATTGCAAGGCTTACATGAATGATTTGGCTATCGCCTATGTCTTGTCAAACCTATACGCGACTTTCGCGCGGGAGCGAGTTCACTCCGGTTCCCTCTCATGGTTCTACATTTGTTTGCATGATTCCACCACAAAATGTCAAGGCGGCGCGAGTCACCCCGGCGTGAATTCATGGCGGTTGTTGTACCGGTATCGTGTAAACGCGAAACGACCACATGTTTCGGTGTCAAATCGGTCTGCCGGTAGACTGGAACGGGTAGCGCACGCGTAATGTTTGCGAGTTTGAATCACACGTGTTTTCTATCAACCCTTCGGGTGCGTTCGTTGGGAAATCTGGATTTAGATTTTTAAAATCCGGATTTCGGATTTGCAATCGAACGCGAAATCCCAAAACAGATTTCAACGCTGAAATATCTGTTTTTGGATTTTCATTTTTACCGTTCGATTGGGAAATCCGAAAAAGGATTTGAAAAACTGTCCTTAAGAACAGCGGTCTTGCACGCGCACGCATACTTAGAAAAAAGAAGACCACTGTTCACGAGAATAGTTTTGCAAATCCTTTTTCGGATTTCCCAATCGGACGGTAAAAAGGAAATCCATGAAATCCGGATTTGGATTTCTTAATTGAAATCCACCCTGAGGACGGATTTCTCGGAGGTGAAATCCGTTTTCGGATTTCGCGTTCGATTGGGAAATCCGGATTTAGATTTCGAAAATCTAAATCCGGATTTCCCAATCGAACACACCCGAAGTGTACCTTTAAATAACTATATGAAATGACCTAGTCATCATGTTAACGAGGTACGAAATCAAAAAGTCATCCCGGTATGAAACTCGCGCCGGTACGAGTTTTCTCACGTAAACACCCTCTTAAATGCAAATCCACTTCAAGTACTAGCTTCATGGTAGAAGCCATATGCATGAGCTCCTGGTGTCGTAGTTCTTTCCTCCATGCAAATGGTCGCACGAGTTCGGGAAAAAATTTTTGGCGGCGAACGGAAGCTCGCAGGCTAAGAGAAAATAGAAATTAACGAGCAGACAGACTGGGTAGCCTATTTCTAAATCTTTTGTTTACACAACTTAATGTTAATAAACAGTCAGTTAACTTTAAAAGCCACTCTACTTTCCTATCCAAAGCTGAAAATAATTTGTTAAAACATCTAAAAAAACCACCAGCTAAATTTGATAAGAACAAATGAAAAACTAAAATTCTACTCCATCCTTAAAAATGAAACAAACTACTCTGAATTCATCAATCATATCCGGAATGCTGAACATAGGCCTGTAGGTTCCAAATTTAGGATAGGAAATCATAATTTAAAAATAGAAACTGGAAGATTTACAATTCCCAAAACTCCTGAAGACCTTAGAATCTGCGATCATTGCAACCTAAATTCGGTTGAACATGCATGAAATGCACATGTTTTTTCACTGTGACCTATATAATGATTTGAGAAAGACTCTTTTTATCAAAATCAACGACCAAAATACATTATTTACACATTACAACATTCATGATAAAGTCTGTTTTCTTTTTGACAATACTGATTCACATATCAACAGGCTAACTGCTAATTTCGTCTTTCAAGCATTTGAAAGACGAAAGAAACACAATTAATTCTACCGTTCCATTATATCTTCACACCTGTACATAATGGTAATACTGAATAAACTTGTTGTTGTTGTTGTTATTTCCGGTCGTCGCTTGTCTCCCCTCGAAAGACAGGACTCCTGGTTGTATGGTTCACATACGAACACAAGACCTTGGATGACGTGGCCTGAAGTGCTTGAAATTCTCTTTCTTTCTTTCTCTCTTCTTTGCGCAGTTGTTCGGATATCACACTTCGGAGAGTGGGAGGTCTGTGGTACAACAGAACAGACTTCGTCCCAGTCTCTCTTAGTCATTGGAATATCAAGATGGCGGCCGTCAGCCGGCTACCAGCGGATTAGTTGGCCATAACAAAGGTGGGATTTGGATTACTAGGTTTTTTAAAGGTAAAGGTTTATGAAGAACATCAATTTTGGATTTACAGAAAGCTCATAATTGCATGTGTCTCTCAGGCTATAAGCTACAATGACCCCGATCTCGTTACAGCTGTCAGCCCATTGCCGTGAGCTGAGATGGCGAGATTTATCTGAGTCACAATTTGTTGAGATAACCATCTGTGGAGGCAAACGTTGCAAGAACAGTGAAGAAAGGAAGGGTCTATAAGACGATCACCCTAAAAAATAGGGATTTCCTTGCCCTGTGAGCAGAGTTTTCTCTCTTGCATGGCTTTCAGCGTTTACGAAGTTGTTCGCGTGGCTTGCCAGTCACGTGGATAGTTTGTTTACGCCCTGTTTCTCCTGGGGCGTATAAAACAAACCAACTACGCGACTGGCAAGCCACGCGAACGACTTCGTCAACGGTAAAAGCCATCCAAGGGGTACTACTTGGTGTTGCACCTGGGCAGTCTTACATCAATAGTAGTGGGCAGCGGCTCGGGACATTTTGGGCAGTCTTTCACCAAGTACTACCCCATCCAAGAGAGAAATCTCTGCTCACAGGGTAGAATTTTCTAGGAAATCTGGGGGCATTTTTTTGTGTACTTGGGGGGTCCATCGTCTCTCCACCCCCCAGCTATTAAACGAGATTTGTCAGGAGAAGAGGAGAAAAATCAAATAGAAGTAATTTTGTAGGTTGAAGGACTGAAGATAAGAACTTATGGAGGGAATGGAGTGGAAACTTTCTCTAAATTACTGGACATGATATTTTTGGAGGTCAGATATACACCTGTAGTAACAGTACTAGCCTTGGGAGGAGATGGGTAATGTAGACAGTTTTGAGATCTGAGCCTTTGTATGGGAATTTCTGACAAAATTGAAGTTGTGACGATTGCATTGCCATTCCAATCAAGTTTTACATTAGTCATGTAATGACAAATGAATCTACCAAAAGGTGTGCTGCACATTCAAAGTTGTTGTTTTGCGCATTAAACCTGTTGCTTTTTTTATTTTCTCATTTCCGTTGTCGTTATGTTCATTATGCTGAAGTTGCCAGTAGAGTCACCATGCAAAACAATTCTTGATATGAGATTTTGTCTGAAAAACTGATGATTTGATGAAAAATGTTTGCAGGTACCCATAATGAGGCTCAGATCTCTAGAGGTTGACATCTCTGCTGCAGGCTAGCATTCTAACAACTGAACAAATGCCAATTATGCGAAAAAGAAATAATAGAAACTGTAAAAGAGTGAATCTATCTACTAAGAACAATAATGTCCTGGTCAAACCTGTAAGGTAATGTGATGTTATCACTGGTAACCATATTTGCTGTTATTTTGCAAAATGTAAGACTTTGTTCAGCGTGATATGGGGAAGAAAAGTAAAAGAAGAGGGCAGCAGAGTCAGGCTGGTCCATGTTGTTCTGAAGCCTGCTGTGATTATGGTGTGGACAAGGATGTGCTTGTTGCTTGTCAGAAGATTTTTGAATGTAAGTATAGATATTTCCAAAATACCGTAAAGTTCCAAAAGTAACAAGCCCCCTTATTTCACATTTAACAGCCTTTTCCTATCGCTACTTTTGGAGGGTTGCTACTTTAATTTCAAGAGGTTGCTACTTTTGGGTAACTAAGACGTGTACCATACATGGGCCGTATGAAGTTACCATAATAATAGCACAACAAATGTGAAAACATCAACAATTTTTATGTGGAAAAACTTACAGTATTTCACGTTATTACTTTTGAAAAAATTCAAAAGAACCATTTGATTACGGTATGGGTATTCACAGATGAAAGGAAGACTTTTTGAAAAAAGAGGTGTAATGTACCTTTAGAGTTACATGAAGGAATGTCAAAGATCATTATAACCAATAAAATATACCTTGAATCAGTTTGATAACACTTGTATATAATATATTATAATTTCTGTTATTTATAGCAAAAAGGGAAATTACCTTTGAAGTCGCTATTTTTGGAGAGTCGTTATTTGCAATGGTCACCACTTCTGGCATTTGCTAACACCTGTCACATTTTATCACTACTTTTGAAGGGTTGCTACTTTCAGGAAGTTGTGACTTTTGGAACATTACAGTAATTCAGATGTTTGCATACTTTATGGGAGGGGATTCAAAATAGGAATGTGCTACACCCTTTTTATGGGAAACTGAAAATGCTAAATTTTGTGAATATGTTGACTCCTTGTTTTTGCAAGTAGGAGTTCAGGGTTGAAACCTCATAAAATTGTTTTGTTGCTAAGTTTCATCAACGGGCCTTTCAAGGTTGAAAGATCCCTTGCTTTCAGTTACCTTATTTTTAATCCTTTCACTCCCACTGAGTGAATCAGAAGTCTTGTAAGGTGGTTCTAATGTTTGAATCTGTGGACAAAATACTGCAGTGTGACCATTCAAATGGAACCTCTCTACCAGTATGTCACAAATTAAAAGTTTTATCTCTCAGCGTGCAAAGAAAGGCGGGTCCGATAGCCCAGGGCTAGTGAATTTTGCTATCAGGCTAGTAATTTTTGTTCTTAACTTGCCCAACTGGCAAGTGCTGTTTTTGGGGGAAATTCAAATACATGTAATTACAGAAGGACTGCAATCAATCCTGCTAATCAAAAAGGGTTTTGGAGCTAGTTGAAATGACTTATGGGCTAGTACATGCTAGCTATAGCTTGCCCAAATGGCAGGCTGTAAAACTGACTTTCTTTGCACCCTGTCTTTTAAAATCTTTTTGCAAAGTGAAATTTGGAAATTTTGTTGAATTTTGACCTAAGTCATCAGGGCTTGAAAAAAAAGAAACTCGAATGCCAGATTTTCCTTTGGGCAAGCAGCTCTCAAATTCTTTAGTTGGAGGATGACTTCCTTGGACCTTTGCCCATTGGGCAAGTACTTACATCGTAAGCTTTAAAAGTTACTTGCCCACCAAGAAAATCTACTTGTCCTGGACTGCTGGATGGGACTTTAGTTGAGCCCTGAGTCATGGGAGTGAAAGGTTAAGGACCTAGTTGCATGAAAACCATACCCTATCCTGTAGCACGTATCCTGTACATGTATCGCTTAGATAAAGGAGTATACCCTCCCTCCCCACCTCACAGGATTTCAAATCATGTGGGTCTAATTGTGCTTAATTGTCACCTTTTTGTAGTGGTGTCTTTAGACACTCCTGTGTTGCCGACCAAGCAGTGGGAAGAACATCTAAAGCTCCGCACATTAGTAGAAAAGATCAGAGAAAAGCAAACTGGTATGATCAGTGTTGATGTTCTGCAATTTTGTTGCACTATTTTAAATTCATGTTTGGTGAAACTCATATATTAAGAGGATCCCATATTAAGTGGACAGCCTGTATTAAGTGTACATAGTGTCAATGTGTCTTTAAAGTTTATTATCTCTGAAGTGGACATCTCAGAATTAACAAGGGCTTTGCAGTTTTCACTGCTACATATTACCGTAGCATAAAAGGTTGTTTAAACAAACAGGTATCAAATGAGAAATTTTGAGACTCACCTATTATGCGAAAATGTTGTTTGGAAATCATAGACCATGTGGAAAAAATGTCTTGAACTATGGGACATCCAAAATCAACAACCTAGTTCCCAGGGTCCTCTTCTACTCATGCCCTACTCATCCCTGGAGCACTGGGGACAAGTTTGAGAGTAATGATTGTATTTATCAGGTTTCTTAATGATTCACTTTGTTTTGCATTTCAGCTCTATCACTGTTTGGGGCATCTGATCATTCCAGGCAAGACAATATTGCTGGTTTTATCAAATGGTTTAATGAGAATGGTGGCAAGGCAGATTCAGTGGAAATTGATGACTATGGACAACAAGGATTAGGCTTGAAAGCCATTGCTGATATTAAGGTACTATAAAGTACTAGTTGTACAATGTTTTTATACCAATTAACGACACTGAAGCACACATATCAACTACATGGTATGGCCATTACCTTACACATGCACACAACCATATCACCCGGGCAGTGGCAGCCATGGACAGCTGTTTCACTCTTGTTGGGGCTCAACAGCATGGCATAACCGTCGGGTGAATGAACTGTTTTCCAGTTCCAAACCAACAGCTAACACTTGTTTACAGTGGAGCTGGTGCTTAAAGGAGAGCTTTGCACTCACCTCGGCAGTAAAGGGTCTTTGATATGCGTGTTTTATCCTCACTCATTGACTGGACTGCTATGCCATGCTGATGAGCCCCAGTAAGGGCGAAACAGCTGTCCATGGCTGCCACTGCCCAGGTGATATGGTTGTGCGCATGCGTAAGGTACTGGCCATACTGCGGAGTTGGTACGTGTGCCTCAGTGCATATTTTGGTTGTTACAATGTTTTTGACTGGCATACTGTCAAAAAATCCCTCAAATAACCGGATAAGGTATCAGGTTTTTTTAAGAATTTTTTCTGGGATGACTATGATGACTAGGATGATTGGGATGACTCTGGTGACTGGGGTGACAGGGGTGACTACATGGAGGATGACAGGGATGACTATGGTGATTAGGATGACTGGAATGATTAGGCAGATTGTTACCACGATGACTGTGATTACTGGAACGATTGGGGTGACTGGGATGACTAGGGTGACCTGGATGACTAGGGTGACCTGGATGACTAGGATGACCTGGATAACTAGGATGACCTGGATGACTGGCATGACTAGGGTGACTGGTATTGCTGGGATAATAGTTGAATGGGGTGTTTAGGATGACAGGGATGACTGGGATGGCAAGGAAGACTGGGATGACTGAAATGACTGGAATGAATGGGATGACTAAGGGACTGGGATGAATGGGATGACTAAGGTGACTGGAATGAATGGGATGTCTAAGGGACTGGGATGAATGGGATGACTAAGTTGACTGGGATGAATGGGATGTCTAAGGGAGTGGGATGAATGGGATGACTAAGGTACTGGGATGACCAGGGTGACTTGGATTGCTGTCATGACTAAGCTGAGTGGGATGACTAAGGTACAGATAACTGGGATGACTAGGGTGACTAGGATGACTAGGATGACCAGGGTGACTGAGATGACGAGGAAAGGTGGGTTGACTGGGATAATTAGGGTGAAGGAGTGGCTAGGATGACTAAGGTGACTGGTATGACTAAGGTGACTGGGATGACTAGGGTTGGATGTAAGACCCCTGGTTGTGAGATCCCTTGGTTGAAAGACCCCTGGTTGTAAGAACCACTGGATGTAAAACCCCTGGTTGTTAGAACCCCTGGTTGTAAGACCCCTACATGTAAGACCCCTGGTTGTCAGAACCCCTGGTGGGAAGACTCCTGGTTGTAAGAACCCCTAGTTGAAAGACCCCTGGTTCTAAGAAAGCAAAGCGTTATTTTTGGCAGTTCTGTTTGCATTTGGAAAACAGTAAACAAAGGCGCAACCCAGGGTAGTGTTTCAGGACCTTATTTGTTCAATATATTTCTTAACGATCTGGAGATTAAATTAGGGAACGAGACACTTGGTTTTAAATATGCGTAGACTGTACGATTATTGCTCCGGTATATGATGATATAGGTCACTCTGCAGACTTAATAAATCAGTTTGTACGGTGGGGAGGCCAAAATAGAATGAATTCGAATTCTACAAAATGTAAAAAGCTTATTATGTATAAAAAACGACACACTGCTGAGGCCTACAATAGTATTTTAGGCATACCACAGACTAGTACAGTAACCATTCTAGGTCTCACATTTCAGCAGAACTGCAAATTCAGCACCCACGTTAAAGAAAAGTTATGTAAAGCTAATAATTGCTTGTACGTCATCAGATGCCTCCGAAAAGAAGGATGTAGCCAAGCAGAAGTAGACCATTTATTCTCTTCCATAGTTCTACCTAATAATTATTATTACTTATGCTTTATCTGTGTATGGGGCCTCTGAAGCAGAGCTAACTATAGCCCAGCAGTTTTCAGATCATGTTTTAAACACAGATACATATCCAAGAAATTAGAGATAGGTGAATTACTTAAAGTGCAAGATCATAGAATTTGTATAATTTTGTATAAGATATGTAATTTTATCTTTTGAACAATAAAGACACTTTTATTTTACTTATTTATTGAAACTCCTGGATGTAACACCCCTGGATGTAACAACCCCTGGTTGTAAGACCTTTGGATAAAAGACCCCTGCTTGTAAGAACCCCTGGATGTAAGAACCCTGGTTAACAGGGGGTAACAAGGGGTTACAGGGGGTAACAAGAGGTAACAGGGGTAACAAGCGGTAACAGGGGTAACAAGGGGTAATAGGGGTAACAAGGGTAACAAGAGGTAACAGGGGTAACAAGGGGTAACAGGGGTAACAAGGGGTAACAGGGGTAACAAGGGGTAACAGGGGTAACAAGGGTGACAAGGGGTAACAAGGGTGACATAGGGTAACAGGGGTAACAAGAGGTAACAGGGGTAACAAGGGGCAACATGGGAAAGAGGGGGTAAGAGGGGTAACAAGGGGTTATGAAGGGTAACAGGGGTAACAAGGAGTAACAGGGGTAACAAGGGTAACAAAGGGTAACAAGGGTAACAGGGGCAACAAGGGTTAACTGGGGTAACAGAGGTAACAAGGGGTAACAGCGGGTAACAATGGGTAACAGGGGTAGCAATGGTAACAGGGGTAACAAAGGGTAACAAGGTTAACAGGGGTAAGAAGGGGTAACAGGGGTAGCAATAGTAACAAGGGGTAACAGGGGGAACAAGGGGTAACAGGGGTAACGAGGGGTAACAGGGGTAACAAGGGGTAACAGGGTTGACAAGGGGTAACAAGGGTAGCAAGGATGACAAGGGGTAACGAGGGGTAACAAGGGGTGACAAAGGGTAATCAGGGGTAACAAGGGCTAACAGGGGTAATAAGGGGTAACAGGGGGTAACGAGGGGTAACAGGGGTAACAAGGGGTAACAGGGGTTACGGGGTAACAGGGGTAACAAGGGGTAACATGGGGTAACAGGGATAACAAGGGTAACAAGGGGTAACAGGGGTTACAAGGGTAACAAGGGGTAACAGGGGTAACAAGAGGTAACAGGGTAAAAGGGGGCAACAGGACTCACATGACTGGGGTAACTAGGGTAGCCAGGATGATTGGGATGACTGGGATAACTTGGGGCTGGGATGACTAGGGTCACTGGGATGATTGGGATGACTTGGGTGATTAGGCTGACTGGGATGACTTGTATGACTTTGATGACTAGGGTGAATGTGTTGACTGGGATAACTGGGATGACTAGGACAACTGGGATGACTCTGATTACTGGGATGACTGATGACTTGGATGACAAGTGTGTCTGGAATGACTAGGATATTTTTTAACTGAGATGACTAGGTTGAGAATGCACCCAAAATTGAGTGGTGAGAGGGGAAGTGGGCAGAAGGGTTTGGAAAATTGTGCATAGCATAGTTCTTGCTACTTTACTGTGCATGACAGCTGACCAGGTATTTCATTGGTTGAAACAAAAGAAATACATTCATTGTCAGTTCTACAAAGCAGGAGGAAAAAGGCTATGGGTGACTAGAAAAGTACATAGATAAAAAAAAATGGGAGTCAGAGTCTTCCATGAGCATTAAAATTGTTCATGTCACAATGGGTGTGGTTTCACATAGGTGCATAAACAGAAGCTGTAAAACCCTGTTATTACAGAAACCAGAAGCAGAGTTGTATGGACTCCTTATGTGCCATGAGGCACAAAGAGGATAGGTGAAGGTGTGAAGGTGATGTGCACAAAGTACATTTGTAACTGCATTATCTGCAGTACAGTATTTTTCTGAATGGTTGCCTTACTTTCAGAGTGGAGAGCTTTTTGCCTCAATACCAAGAAAACTGATGATGTCAGCAGAGACAGCGCGAAATTCAGAATTAGGTACAGTCATGTGGTTTAACACTTGTAGTCTAATTCGGTCAGGGCACCAGGCCTCAGTCATTGAAATGGTGGATAATGCTATCCACCGGATACATGTAAATCTCTATTCAGTGTATAATGTTATCTGTTTCCCTAATGCTTATACTAGGGGTTTTTTGAGTGGATGTTGCTATCCACTGGGGCCAGGGTAGATAGTAAGTAAGTAACTAAGTAACGTTTATCAATGTGTAGGTTATCGGATGTGGTTTTGCTGCAGAAATGCCTCACGTTAGAACAGTAGTCAAAATGGGGCGCAATTAATGTTTTTCCTTATATCAAGGGGTAGAATGTTTCTCAAACGTTTCAATACTGCAAGCTGTTGGGATACCTTTCTTGTCGCATTGGCGATCTGTGTATCGAATTTCAGCTCGTTGTCAATAGTGACACGAAAGAGAGTGAGGTCTTCACGCACTGGTATCGTTGTATTATCACAATGGAACTTTGATTTCAGAGTTTGTAAGTTGCCCATGACCACAGCTTGATATTTTGAATGGTTCCGTTGAAGAACAAAATCAAACTGTCATTCAGTATTAACCCTTTAAGACTCAATACCCAGATACAAATTCTCCAAACCGGTCTCTATCCATTTTCATAAAGAATAAGTTGTGAGAATTTCATAAAAGATCAGAGCATTTTCCCTTAGGTGATCAATTTCTTTATTCTCACAACCTTTTCTCTTGATTTTGTTTTGATATTCTTTGGAGAAAATTGATGTTTGTCACTCTTGGGGGCTTTTTCTCCACAAGCCAGAAAATTAGAGTTTCACTATACAAACCTATTGACATAAATGATTATTCTAAGTATGTTCGCCAATTACTATAATCCTCGTAACTCAGGTACATCCTTCTTATAATCCTTAAAATAAATCATTGTAGTAAACTTGTTCAGGGGCTCTCTCCGTAAAGCCCAAAAGGATTTGCTGAGAGCTCCTGCCCAGGTATAATATTATGTTATATTACCCTGTAATTAGTATTTGAAAGGGCAAATAAAGATTGATTGATTGATTGATTGATTAAAGGGTTAACCAGATTTCATGTGGTACTGTTTGTTATTCAGTATTTTCTTGATTTAAAAAGGTTTATTAATTGCAGTTGTTTTATTTTCTATTCTGTTGCAGCCCCCCTTATTGAAAAAGACAATATTCTAAGAGTGATGCAGAATGCCTGTCTGGTTCTTCACGTTTATTGTGAAAAACTCAAGACGAATTCCTTCTGGAAGCCCTATCTCGGTATCCTTTACACAGAACAGAAAAAGTCCTGTGTTTTATAATTGTCACATTGCAGTTTTGCTATAGTGAGCATAGAATCTATCATTTGGCCATAGCTATCAACTTTAATTGAGCACCAAAAATGTGATAAATGATGTGTGGTTTTGCATGTTGTTGTGATAAAATGGTTGCTTTTGGCATTACATGTAAACATGTACAGAAATGCACTATCACAGCAATCAATACCCCTCTTAATATTTTCCTCTCCTTACATCCCCAAATTAGTTTAAGGCCATAAAAAGTCCAACTTATAGTTGTCGCTTTGGTTAAGTTTTAGGTGTGTTCAGTTGGCCTCTTTGTGAATAAGAATACCTGGAATTAGCACCCTTGGGAGGGGTACTCCCTATAATGGCCTATATGGGGAGTCTCCGCCTGAAAGAGAAAAATTTCATTTTGGTCTGTAAAAAGGCACAAGAGGGCTATCAGATGTATTTCATGGTTGTGGAAAAGTCAAGAAAACTTTCATGGTTTTGTAATTTTTTAATGCTTGAAAGACAGCGCATTTACAGCAGTTAAAAGGAATGCAAAGGTCTAAACTAGGTCTGTGAAAGGGTACCATTTTTCAGTAGAAGGTATATGAAAGGGGTAACCTTTCTGTCAAAAATTTAGTATAAAAGGGTAAGGGGTCAGATCTTGGGGTGGAGCCTTCCTGTATAAAACTTTGTTGTGTACACCCTCTGGGAATTGACGCTTCTATCTACAGGAAAACCCATATCTCCTAGACGATCAGACAGAGCCTTTTGAGGGTTGAGGACAAGGTTTTACGTATAAGGTTTTAGATATAAACTTTGTACTAGCATTAATTTATTGTAACTTCCTTGATCAGGATTGTATTTTAGATATTCTTCCGACTTCATATTCAACCACATTGTACTTTAGTATTGATGAGATGCAGGACCTAAAAGGCTCCCCAGCATTTGGTAAGAAATTCAAATTCATGTAATGTTATCAGTACATATAGTGCGTAGTACATAGTACATATCTTGACGTCCACTGCACGAATACGACCTGAAACCTCCTAATGCCTCGTTTTATGGAGGACGTGAACATATGACGACGAATTTTCCTTTCTCTTTTTGAACCTGGATAAAGTCCTTAAGAATTCAACTCCATGAAAAATCGCCCACATTTGACCAAATAAGTCGGTCCAAATAGACTCGATAAGGTTTTAAAGGACGCAAATTCCTTTTTTTAGCGACGTTTTTCACTGCCCTCGTCATCGTCGTTGCTTGTACTGACAACTTTGGCTGTAGAATCAAATTCACTCTTGTATACAGAGCATTATTTTCAATTCTGCGAGTAAACGACTACAAGCCTGAATCTGACCTATACATGTAAACGGCGTCAGTCTATATAATACAGCTGTCAAATGCAGCGAAACCGATCAGATAAAACTGAGTCATTTCTCTGAATGAATGCCCAAGTTGCAAACACTCCAGTTAACGTATATGGAACGTATTAGACTGAGCCTGAGCACAAGGTCATGTGACCTACAAAGTTGGGCCTGGGAGATAACAAAACAGGGCACCCAGCTGCTACGTTTTCCTCAACTGAACCTGGCATAGCAAATTCTCCTGCTATTATATGTTTCAGGTGAGGCGCTGAAATTGTACAGAAATATTGCTCGTCAATATGCTTATCTCTATCAACGAATTCAGCAGGTTAGTGGTCTCAAAAATTTGATTTTATCTCAAGCTTTTACAGTGTAACTTAAAATAGGTAATATATCCTTCCGCGGTTTTTTTTTTCCACTAGCGAGGAAGCAGTAAGTAGCTGTAAGCGAATATCCATCGACACTCTCGGAAAGACGGCCTTAAAATGTGGTAACTTACCAAGTTTAACGGTGATACGTCCAAAGCGAGCGAAGATATTACCCCACAAGGTCGCAAAAGTTTTCAGACGTTTGTTTAGGGGGGGGGGGCACGAACATGCTCCCCACCGTGAAAACGTCTGTAAAATTTCACGACTTTGCGGTGAGATGTGTTCATTAGTTTTCAACAAATCAGTTTCAAACTTGGCAACGTTACTGATTTTAACTCGTTCTTTCCAGCCGTGTTGACGAATTTTCGCTACAAAAGTTAAAAAACACCGTGGAAGGATCTGTTGATTCCTTCAAGGCAAAAGCTGAAAACACTATTGCGGAATTGCACATATTTAAGTCATCCTACTGATGAACAGTTACGACACGTACATATATTTTTTAGCAGCTACTATAAATTGAAGTCTGTCCACTCTGAATTTATTTATTTATTTATTTATTTATTTAATCGCTTTCACCATGATTACAATGCTAAAATAAGACTAGGAAAAAAAACATGTGAACAAGTTTTAAGAACTAGAGACGGGGGTGCGGGATACACAACAGAGCGAGGCTCCAAATTAAGTGTGCCTTTGAGAAAAATACACAAATACTAACTACGTAAACATTTTAAGAAGTATAAAAATCTTATTTCCAAAAAAGATAAGAACGAATCACTCCCGCAGCCGATAAAAAGTCTCGGTAGCAGCAGTTGCCAGCTAGCACTAGCATCCTCAAAACCACAGATAAGAAAGATCAGAGAAGCAATAGAGATTCGATACCAGACGACGAACGGGCACGCCCTTACAGCACATATAATTTACGAGGTCATTCTATCACGTGATATTATTTTGTCATCATATGTCACATGACGAATTTCAGCGAACGTATTTCGTTTGCCAAAGACAGAAAAGGTGTTAAAAGCTTTGGTAGTAAAGATTTTTTATATCCTTATGAGTAACTAATGGATTGCAGCAGCGGATTAGCCAATGAATGCAGCCTCTGCAGGGGACGTTTTGCGAAATGTCCCAGTGGCGGAGAGAAATTAGTCTGCTACATAGCCGTTTTTAGGGTCGTCAAAGAAGGCTGTGTAGCAGACTAAAGGGAAACGAGAGGCGCTTGTATTTGCAGGCTAGAATAGGATCGGATGCCAATATTTTCACTACTAATTATTGTGTTGTTTCTTTGATTACAGTTTTGTCCAGAGACAGCAAAGCTCCCATTGAGAAACCATTTTACTTTTGACGACCATAGGCAAGTGATTTTTTTAATGAGCGCATTTCTTTAGCTTAAACAACAGGCACGTTTGTGATGTTCAAGTGTCCTAGGTTGAGCAATCAGCAAGACATATGTGTTAATAACGTGAGTGCGTTATAAGGCATGGAAGTTCTTCTTCCTAATAATGAGGGTAACATATTAAAGTTTCCTTTTTTCCCCAGTTTTTTTTTCTGGTTTTTGTTAGTACTCAAACTGCTGTCCAGGTAGCCTGGTTGGAAGATTGCTCGTCTTCAGAGCGGAAAGATGACAAGGATAGAAAGAATATACCCTTTTTTTTCTTGAACGCGAGAACACACCTGTCCATGTTAAAAACGACTACAGTCAAACCTGTATTGAGTGAACCTGTATTTAATAGTCACCCGCTAAAGATCGTTTTCACGTGACGTCACGGTAGCCATATTGGTGTATAAAACAATGAAACGGCGGCCATGTTATGTACCCGAAACAATCCTGGGGAAGTTGAACTCTTTTGAGTTTTCTCATGTAAAAACTTTTTTTTGTTCCAAGAAATTTGCACAGCTGCTAACCACGCGACTGAAAACAATCTATTAAACGGTCACTTGCCAACATCCCGGAAATCATTTCTCTTAACTGCTGTTACACTGACCAGCGGCCGTCGAGCTATCAAGCTTGCCGTTTTCCCGTTGAAGTTGAACATGATGCTGAGTTCTATTGCAAAATTGCAGCATAACTTGCTTTAGATCTTTAGGTACAACTACTTTCTTGGGGTGTCTTCAGTTTCAGTAGTAGTGACAAGGGGTTAAAGTTATCGAATCTTCTTTCTCTTTTTGTACATCTCAGATGGGCAGTCTCAACTGTTATTACTCGTCAAAACAAGATTCCCAGCACCACAGGAGAACCAACACTGGCACTGATTCCAATGTGGGATATATGCAACCATAGTAACGGCACAGTAGGTGTACAGTGTATTCACAGTTGTGAACATCAGTCTTTATTTCTGTGTGGGTCTAATCAAATGGTGACGAGTTAAATCAGGAAAAATCAAGAAATAGTTTCATGCGAGTTTTATCAAATACAGTTGAACCTCCACTAACGGCCACCTCTCTACAACGGACACTTTTTTGTCCCCGTGGACGAATAATCCATATTGACTCTTGTTTAAACATGTCTACAATGGCCCCTGTTTCTGTCCCCAAGGTGGCCGTTTTGGAGAGATTTAACTGTTCTAGAATTTGAGAAAACACAAGGGACATTATTTTCTACTTTCACGAGTATACCATTTGATTACTAATTACCTTTTCCTCTTTTATTTTATCGAGAATTCCGAGACTTCCGAGCGTGCCGAATGTTCACAATTTTACTTGTAAATTTGAGTTAAAATCAAGTTGTAGGTTAATTTAAAGGGGCCACGTCAAGACTGTCTTGTTGCCAACGAGCAGCTTCGCGAAAACGCGAGGCTGCGAGGCGGTAGCATAAGAAAGCCGTGCGCAGAAGTTCCAAGGCAGAATGAATCTCGAAGCGATGCAACGTAAGGCCGTGTAAGGTAATTTTTATGACGTAAAGCAGAACAGAGAAGGCACTGTTTTCGAGCGAACACGTGCGCAAAAGTTCCAAGGCAAGTGTAAGGTAACTTTTATGAGATGAGTGCGTTACATGACGGTAAATGACTAACCTTGAACACGCGCGCGCGTATAGGTAAAATCTTTGCTCGTTGGCACTTAGCGACACGTGTATGGAACGTTAGCGACGAAATTACTTGCAAACGACTAAATCACGACTTCATGTCAAAGAAATCAGATGTCTCTTAAACGTTATATAAAGTTGAAAACAATAGAAACAAACTTTGAAAAACTGTTCGGCTAACAAGTTTTCACTAATCACAGTTGCAATCCGTTTTATTCTTCTTCAAGGTTGTCCTTCCCGGCGTGCCTCCTTTTGTATGTGCTGTGTTATTTATACCTTATTTTCCTGTTTTGAGCGGTTATTTTTATGTTTCGCTCAATTTGGTGGCATTTCCTACTGTTTAAATTTTGATAAATTTCCTGACACTGCTAGTTTAAGCAGCCGGAGAAAACAGCCGACATTTGGCGACGCTACCACTGGTTTCCCCGCCAAATGACGTCTGAGAAACGAGCGCAGAAATTCCATGCTGATGACGCGTCAGATCTGGGTAGTGTAAATTTCCCACGCGGCACGACCAATCAGAAACACTACCCAAATTTGGGTGGTGACGCGTCATCAGTATGGAATTTCTGTGCTCGTTTCTCAGACGTCACTTCGCGAGGAGACCAGTGGTGGCATCGTGATATGTCGGCTGTTTTCTCACGCTAATAAATTTCTTGACTTTGTAGCTAGTTTAAGTAACCGAACAATTTTCCTTAGATAACTACAGGTTATGTTGTGGCTGAAGACAGTTGTCAAAGCTTTTCCATGAAGGATTTCTCAGCTGGCGAACAAGTGTACATATTTTACGGCGAGCGATCAAATGCAGACCTGTTGGTTCATAATGGTTTTGTCTATGAGAGTAATAGCCATGACAGAGTCACCATACAGCTTGGAGTCAGCAAGAGTGATCCATTGTACTCTTTGAAGGAAACACTTTTAACTGCCCTAGGAATGACTGCGTAAGTTGTCATGCAGCACAAAGTCGCTATGAAATCATTAGGCAGATTTAGAAAGACGACATGACGAGAGTGAAAACAAGTTCAACGCTCGCAGAAAAAGCATCAGTTGAATCTCGTTTACAGCAAGGAGCCCAAACGTGCGACCGCTTTTGATTTATTCACATTCTTTCGTACAGATTTAATCCAGTCAGAAGCTAAACGGTCCTCGACTTCTGATTGGTTAATGTCTGCATGAAAGATTGTGAGTTAATTAAAGGAGGTCACACTTTTGAGCTCCTTGCTGTAACATTTACACGCGACCTTCCCTGCATCGTCTCTGTTGTAAAATTTGCTTCCATGCGCACGTGAACAATACGCGAAAGTGAAATTCCACCGTTAGACGGTATTGCCAAGTCGATCCCGTTGTTCATGTAAAAGGAGGAAATTTGCAGCTGAATTCACTCTTAGCGGTTTTAATTAAATTTAAAGTCAACGCTTTTTTTTAAATCCCTCTGTAATAAGAGCTTTTGAAGTAATCTGTATTTAACGGGGAAAGTAGCCTACTTCTCTGAGCGAAGTAGCCGTCGCTTTTCGTCGTCAGTCGGTTTTTACTGGAAGCACTTCCCTCTTCTCTCAGTACTGTATTTACCAAGACACGACAGTGTATTCAAAGTGATTTCTTTACTTGCAGTTCGTTTCATTCCTATACTGTTCTGTGTGGCTGTGAGCCGTTTGGTCCCGAATTGGTCGCATTCTATAATCTATATTTAGGGGGAGAAGTAGCCTACTTCTCTGAGCGAAGTAGCCGTCGCTTTTCGTCGTCAGTCGGTTTTTACTGGAAGCACTTCCCTCTTCTCTCAGTACTGTATTTACCAAGACACGACAGTGTATTCAAAGTGATTTCTTTACTTGCAGTTCGTTTCATTCCTATACTGTTCTGTGTGGCTGTGAGCCGTTTGGTCCCGAATTGGTCGCATTTCTTAGAGTCTTTTGTATGAAAGAAGGTGGGTCGTTTTTAGTTTAGTTGGAAACGGTTTTTTATATGATTGCCCAACACCCCGTCCACGTAAAGAGGTGTGCCTGACCTGTTTACAAACTTAAAAATGGCGGCAATGGACGATAACTTGGTTGTCACTATTAAGCTACGTGCAAACGGACGCAACAGCCTCCAACAAGGTTGGTTGCTGTTGTGCCCGTTTGCACGTAGCTAAACGTTTGACCGGTTTCAAACTTTGCGCAACAACTCCCAACAATACGCAACAACATGCAACAGAGTGTGCAAACGGACGCAACATGTAACATCCAACTGCGTTGGGAGTTGTTGGCCAACAATGTTGCGTCCGTTTACTTGAGGATTTACAGCACATGCAAAGAAGAGAGTGTAGCTCGTGAGTAAACTCGGTATTTTGGCCCATAGGCGCTAGAGTCGAGCAAAGCGAACAAAAAAAGGTAAAGCAACCAGTATTTTACGTCGGTATCACGTGACAGTAATTCAACTTGTAAAGTTGAGGTCGATGGTGCGCTCATTTTACCCCCCTCTCTCCATCAATGTTCTGTTTTAAGGGTATTAAAAGCTACTTCAAGCTACACAGAAGGGAGGGACGTCGAAACAAGGATTTGATGTCACCGGCGAATTCGGGACTTTGCAAACTGAAGGACGCGCACTAACCAGGTGTGCCACCCTGGCTTCTAAATCGCGAGGGAATTGCCTTCCCTTTCGCACTTGAAAGCCCAAATGGAGACCTTGCTAGCAGGCTAAAACGGGTGTAACTTTGTTTTGTTGTGTTTCATCAATTTTACAGATGAGTTAACAGGATGGCTTGAGAAGGCTAACGAAGCCAGCTGTGAGCTGAGCAAGCTGTCAGATTTCCGGTCGTCCGTTTGCAAGGAGGAGACTGAGATCAAGTGTTGGCAATTTCTGGAGACTCGATTGTCTTTACTCTTGGGACAATATAGGACAACAGAACAGGTGAGTTAATTGTGTTAATCTATTTTACTTTTGCTAGATGCCGTAAAAGACCACGGGATACTTGACACGCAGCTCTGGCAAGAAAACAGCTTTCTATTCGCCACTTTAGAAACGAGAAGGGAACTAGTGTCGAAATGTATCCCGCAGTTGTTTCTGGGATCGTTACTGGGGATGCGCTGGTCAGCTATTGGTCAATTTTTTTCCCAGTCCCTAGTAACAGTCCCAGAAGCCTTTGCGAGAGTCAACTCAGCCCAGTCTCCTCCTTGTTTCTAAAGTGGCGAATTGAGGGAGGGTGTGAGGGGAAGAGTGAAAGCGCGATATGACGCGGGGGGTGGGGAGAAACAAAGGGAGGGGAAGGAGGATTCCTCTTAACACCCAGGCTAAGGAATTCAAAACAATGATTCTACTGCTGAAAACAGTGAACCTGCAAGCTTCCTGAAGGGCGGATTGCGCAGTAAATGTGAACATTCTTTTCTGTTTAGCGAGAAATTCTGGAGCAGCCCGTGATCAGATGAAGTATTCCAGATGAAAGGAAATATTCTCTGAAAGTCTGTGGATACCAGATTAAAGTTATATGCCACTCCTCGGCGATAATACTGTTTCAATTCCAAAGCAGTTTCTATTACTTTTGAAAACCCTCCTATTTTATGGATGTTGGGGGAGGGGGAGGGGGGGGGAGCGAGGGCGGGGGAGTCCGGACCACCCGACTTCCCCCCTCCCGGGGCTCTACCACTGTCCCCTATAATTTTTTTTTGTTTTTATCCAGTGATGAGACAAGCTTTAAAGAGCTGCGAACTATAACACCTCTGAACTATTTCAGCTCCTTTCCCGTGCGTCTCTTTTCACTATCCAGCGTTCTATATTAAACTGAAAAGACCCTGTCCTGTACGTTGAGGTCGTACAAAGCTAAACAAACGCTGCTTTTTCTTGTGCTAAAGTAATTCTTGTTAATATGCTTGTTTGTTTTGTTTGATCGATAGGAGGAACGTGATTTACTGGCGAATGAAGAGCTTTCACACCACAAGAAACTATGCATTCAACTCAAGAGGGCTGAAAGACAGGTTCTACAAAATGCCCTGAAACGCGCCATTGAGCTGAAGAATAGTACACAGTCTGAACTAGAAACTGGTAAATCCAACGATTTGAAAACTGACGAAACAAATTCATCTGCTGAGTTAAAAGATGCCAGCCCCCCAAACTCGAACGGAAACAGTGAAATAAATGAAACATTAGCCGCTGTTAGTCAGCTCGAAATTCAAGGAGAATAACGGACGACGCCAAAACGACTGTCAACGTTAGAGCATTTCTTTGTACAGTTTTCGAGTCGGATGACACTAAATTTTTAATTATCTACGTGTTAACAACCTTTGATTTTCATATTAAGCTAAGACCCCGCCCGAAATGATTGAATAAATAAATGAATGAGTAAATAAATACTTGGCTTTCTACTAACGTTATTTGATCGGTTTAAAGCCTCTTTTTTTCAAGAACGGACTATTTTGGTATTTGGTAGTGGACTGGAACTGGTTTACAGTCGAGGCTTATGCGGATTCGAATATTAGCCTGTTCTAGGCTTAAAGGCAATACAAATGGAGACAATGTTACTTCAGGACGTTCCGTAAAACCGCTGAAGAGGAAGTTACTCGCGGTTTTGTTATAATTTTAAGGAAGGTTCTCTCCTTTTTTTGCTCGTGCTCATGTTCTTGGCGTCATTAAATGACATTGGGCGTGAAAGCTTACCCGCTTGCTGCATTCGTCAGGTTGGTAAGGAGAAGGACTGGGGACTAGGCTGCTGAGAACATTGAGAATTGCATGGAGTTTAGCGAGATCCCGGTGAATACAAAGAAAAACGTTACCGGAAATCACGCACATTTTTTTCGTGTCATGCTTTTAATGGTTATGCAAGAGAACAGCTTACAAAAGTTAAATAAAGTTAGCATTGTTAGTAGGTTACATTAAATATCGGCAGTTAAAACATGTCAGGCAAACCATATCAACACTATCAACAAGTAGTCGCACTTAATAACATTAAACATTTAATAGGCTGTATACTTTTGTCCCCTCCCGTCGCCTTCTGCCGCAAAAAAATGATTAAATAATATACGTTAGTGGGTTAGTACATATTAAAGCCGTTCTCCAGTGGTATTCCGTATTTTCATCTTCCGGTCACGTGTTCACAGATAGTCGTTAACATTCACCGTCGCCCCAGTCTCCTTACTCATCTCATTGGTTATCGACGCTGGCGGTGATGCTTCCTGGTCAGCAGCTGTGGGCGGCGAATCGAACACTTGAGGTGTACCTGAGGTGTCCGTGAAAGAACTGGGGTCAATTGAAGCTTCCTCGTTCTTGTCCGCCTGGTTTTCAGACGTTTGGGAGTTGGGATCGACGGTGGTTGGCGTGTTCTCGTCCGGTTGTTCCGAAGTTTTGAAGGAACCGGGGTCTGCTGAAGTTGGCACGTTCTTCTCATCTGTTTCCTGGTGGGCGTTCTGTACAACTGGTTGGTCTAAACAAACAAAAAGCGAAAAATGTACATAACCATAAATAAATAAGTCCAAATGATGATAGTCCTTATGCATGATTACGTCAGAGAAGCAAAGTTCACCACCAAGCCTCGTTTTGAAGTTGTAATTCCGTGAAGATTTCTAAGGCAGCTGAGGCCTGTTTCAAACGTTGTGCTACTGCCGTTTTAAGGTCTCGGTAAAGGAAAACGAGGTGCCCACAGAAAAAAATTCTAGTCGCGCGAGTATTTTCGCTACAAAGGCAAGTTATATATCAAATTAAAGCTAAAAGACTAAATTACCTTATAAAAGATTTTATTTCATCGAATTTCAAAAGGGGCTTAAGTTTTTTGTTCTCGAACTCAGAGGTACCGAGTTTACTGCTGAAGCTCCAGCCCTTTCACGTTGTTAAATATTCACTTCCTTTTTATTGTATCTGATTGACAGATAAAAGACCTAAAAAAGGGTGTGAGGAAATTTGCATATGTCTCGTATTAGCGGAATTATTGCATTTCAAACTAAAAAGTCGAATCTCGAGCGCGATTTACGCAAAGAAACTGACATAAAATGAGTTACAAAGGAAAATCGGAAAATTCCTCACACCCTTTTTGAGTCTATATCATTATCCATCATATCTGAAAGTTTCAAAGCGATAGCTTAAAACCTGTCCCGACTGGAGGTCGGAGAATTTTGATTTTTGCGTCTAAAATAGAATGAGAGAAAATCAGCTCTAAAGATTTAGCGCGAAGTCCACGCTTGGCTGGTTAGCTCAGAAAAGGCTCATTTTAGAAGGGTTAAAAAGCACTTTCTGATTTTCTTTTTCTGCCAAAATAAAATTTAGGACCCACTCATGCCAAAAATCCAAAAAAAACAAAATCGAGCAATGTACTAAAATTTTCATTTACCGAGACCTTAAGCTGGCTCGACTTCAGCACGACTCTAACACGACTGTATCACGACTTGGTTTTAGAGGTCGAATTTAACTCAGTCGAATAAAATAGCTGTTGCGGAAACAAAACTAAAAAATAAAAAGCGTTTTAGTGAACTGTTAAAATGTATTCTACTGTATTTGTAATTTATGAATTGAGTTCGGCACGGCAGCAGTGCGACGTTTCAAACCAAGTCGAGCTACTGCCGTGTGTAGCACTGCAAAATTCGATCAATTTAGTTCGGCACGGCAGTAGCACGACGTTTGAAACGGGCCTTAGGTAAACTTAGATAAGGGCCATTACGTCCTAATCTGTAACCTCATTAAAAACGTTTAACACCCAGAAGTCCAAGAAATCTCAAACGAAACATTGACACGTAGTAAATAATAACAAATGGAAAATTCTAACTTTCTTTTAGCCAAACAACTTGTAAATTGCTAAACTGAAGGATTTTCGCACAATTTCATGAAGACTAGAATCAAACTGTTAAAATCTGGCTCAACTGGAAAGCATTGCTGCGAAAACACTGTGTAACTAGGCTTTTTTCCTGTAAAAAGGCTACCATGGAAACAATCCTAGAGTCAAACACGCACCCTCAACAATTTGTAAATCATTTTTATAATTTTAAGTAACGAATCAGTCCATCCTTCGTAAATAATAATTAATACTAAAACTGACCTTTGATGCGCCTTAAGCGGAACCTGGATGTTTTCCTTCGAATTTTGCGCCAGCCATATCTTCCTCGCATTCTCGCTCGTCCTCGACGCAGCCGGATTCTTCGGAGTCGTCCCCGTAACACAGCCCGTAGCTTGTTACAGCAGTTTCTTACGCGCCGCCAAATCTTTCCGTAGCGTATCTGCAAGGTGCCACCTCTGGAAGGCACATATCTCCAGCGACCTCTGAAGCGGACTCCAAATCGTCTACCTCGCAATATGACCCTGCGTATCTTGCGCATATATCGGATGGTCCATCTACCGCGCCTTCTTATGACATAACGCCATCTTCCTCCCAGCCTTAGTCGCAATTTCACCAGGGTCTTTCCTCGGCCGAATTTGATCCATTTCTTTCGGTAGTAAAGCCTGGGTCGTCCTCTTAGGAAGCGGAGTACTCTACCTTTGCGTCTGTAATTTACCACGAGTCGTCCTGCTTTCGGGTAGATCCAGCGCGCTCGTCCGCGGATGATAATCTTCATACGACGGACTAAACGCCTCAGTCGTCGCCAACGTCCCTTTCGATAACGTACATAGGTTCTTCCTCCTCGGATTCTGAGAAATAAGAAAAATAAATAAGTAAGACGTGGTTTTAAGGTTGGCAGAGTGTGGGAAAGCTGCATACTAGAAAGAAACACACGATAACCCTCATGTAACTTTTAATTTGCAATAAACTATCGTAAACGCCCTTTTAAATAAGGGCTCTCCCCACTAGCGCTCTAAATTTCTTCCATGGCACATTCTCCTTTAAGCCCTGCCTACCCCCAATCTTCATCAAACAGCAGTCACACAAAAAACAACATTTTGTAAGTAGGTTGAATGATCGTCCGTGGTTCAAGTTTCGATGGGACTTTGTTCTTATCAGTGACTCCGACAACCTGTGCGGTAGTCATCTATCAAACAACAGTTCGTATCGCGTCAGTTGATGGTCATTAAATTTTTATTGACCTGATTGGTCAATTAAGTCGCGATATTATCGTCGTCGACTGTCAGTTAATCCTGAATAGGATCGTTGTTACTCGTGATGTTACTGGACGTTTCGATCCGTCTGTTGTCAAATTGTCAGTTGTCCAGTTGTTCTCTCGTGGTTAGTTTTGCTTGATTCCGTCAATAAGTCATTTGTACGGTGCCGGTTACTGTTGACTACGATTCAGTGGCGAAAACATGCCGACTGCTCTCACTACTAGAGCTTCAAATTATTACCATACCCTTGTCTCTTTTGAGGCCGACCTGCCCACAATCCCCTTCCTTTCCCACAGCACAGAAAAAAAAACAGAAATGACGTTTGAGACTGGGACAGTTTTTTGCCGAATATGGATCAGTTTTGGGTAACAAAGTGGGTCCCAGTTTCCTGCGCAACTTCGTCATAGCCAATTTAAAAAGCGATGACAGAGACCATTAGCCTCGAGGACGAGGACCACAGTTTTAGCTAAAATCCGTCGTAGAATGACGACGGCATCGAGTTTTCCAGCCAAAATGACGCCGGTTCACGCTCGCGCACTACTTAGTAGTAAGAAAACCTCCTTCTCGTAGTCGCCCTTGTCGCAGAATTTAAAGGTGCCTTACTTCCCTAAACTGGAATGTCCCTTAATGCAATTACACGCAACTCCGACCTAGTCTCACACTTAGCTTAAAAATGGCCGATTTATTTAAATCTTGCCTCGATTTCAGAAAGAAAAAATCGTGTCTTACTTTTTTGGAGTTGGTGAGTTTTTTTTAATAACCACTACCCTCTGCAAGGCGTGAAAGCTTAAAAAGAGCACAGGTGGTTGACTAGAAGGTTCACGGCGGTTGATAATTGAGCGACTGCCCAAATCAGGAAACTTGTAGAATTTGCCTTGAGGTTTTCTGGTTTTCTGTTTCGTTTACTGCGTGCAGGACAAGATGAACGTTTAGTGCTTATGACAAGTTTTTTTTCGTTATTGTCTTATAGCCTCACCTCAATCTATACTTCCTGCCCTTGACGCGGAACCAGAACCGTCTTCTTCGCCTGTACACTCTTCTGAACCTGTTACGGAATTTGATAGTCAGGCTGCCGTTTCGTCGCCCATATCGGCGTCGACGGCGGCGTCTTCGTTGTCCGAACCGTCTCCAGTACCGCCTTCGCCTCCTGCGTTTCCGCCTTCTCCTGATACGACGACCACGGTGCGTAGAAGAACGTCTCCACTTCCCCCGGTAAAGGAATCGAAGTCTGCCGTAGCTGAAGCGAAGTCTTGTTAGCTTTCTACGGTAGCGGAACCTCAGCGTTCTACCTACTCGTCTGACTCGGCGATACCGTCTCTTTACCCG